TTGTTGTTGGTGTTGTGGGTGTTGTTGTTGCTATTGGTGTTGTTATTGTCTGTGCTGTTGCTGTTCATGCTAATGTTGTTGCCGGTGTTGTTGTTGGTACTGTTATTGTCGTTGTTGTTGGTGGTGTTCTTCTTGCTGTTGTTGTTACTGCTGTTTTTGTTGTAAGTGTTGTTGCTGTTGGTGTTGCTGTTGCTTGGGGGCTGGTTCTGGCGGAATCCCGAAATGCCTGAGCATGACCCCTACTTTTCAAAGGAAATGCAGCCAGCGCCGAGGCAAGAACGCCGGGGCGGATGTAGGGTGTCTATCAACAACAACCGTTTAATATTTGAGCTTCAACAGCAACAACACTCCTCATCCCACCATCATCATCCTTACCATCCTCATCAACATCCACATTATCATCCTCCTCTTCCTCACCCTCTTGGTCTGTCCTCATCCTCCACGATCATCTTCGATCCTCCTCCCCATCGGTGCGCTTGCTCCTCGTCCTCTGCCTCCCCCTCTTCGTGTGGCGGCCCGGCCTGTGCCTAGACACTGACTACCTACCAGGCCACCCCAACCCAACCCGAGGACCCGAATTTCGGGTTGGGGGGGTACGGGTTCCATGTGTGTTTTCTCGATGTTCCCCGACCCCCCCCACACTGGAAATGGAGGGCAAATTGAGGCCTTCGGGTTGGGTTGGGGTGGTCTGGTGGGTGGTGAAGCACGAGCCACCCCCGGAGCACCGCCGGGAGCGGAGCCCCTCGATCCCCCTCCGTCTCCCCCCGCCCCAGGGACAAGGGGGGCCGAGAGGTCGAGGGCCCCGCTCGAGAAAGCGTCGGGTCGGCAGAGGTCTGGGCCTGGCCCCCGCCCCCACCTCCAGTGAGGCCTCCCACGACTCGACAGCTTCGAGCCTCGGGGCCCTCCTCCTTCTTTTTCTTCTTGTGCCTTTTTCTTCGCATTACTCTTCTAGTGTTATCTCATTATGAAAATTATTACGTTTCGTCTTGTCATTATGATTACTAGTATTACTACTATTAATATGATTAGTATTAGTATTAGTACTAGTAAGAGTATTATTAACAGTATGTTTCGTATCGCCGTCGTAATACCATTATCAGCATGCTTCTTATTAGTAGTAACTTACTCTTCGTATGATTGTGTCTCTCGTTATGACTCGTCTTCTCCTCCTAATCGTTCCTTTCCTCCTCCCCCTCACCATCATCGTCCTCCCACTCCTGCAGCTTCGCGAACTCCTCGATCCCCCCATCCGTCTCCACCCGCCCCCGCCGCCCTCCTCGGGCGCCGCCCCCCCTCCGCCGACCGCCGGCCTCAGCAGCGAGGGCGGCACCTGGTGCCGTGCGGCGGGCCCAAGGTCGCGCCTCTCGGCGAGGGGCACGGCGCGCTCGGCGGGCGGCGGGCGTGCGGCGCGGCGCCCGCGAGGAGGCTCTCGGAGCCCGAGGAGAGTCGAGCAGGGAGGCTCCTCCTCCTCCTCCCCCTCCCCTCAAGACGACGGAAAGGATGACCAAGACGAGGAGCACGGCAGACCAAGACGAGGAGCACGGCAGACTATGCCCTAAGAGTGCCCTCAAGACGGCCGAACAAGCGGGACATTCTGGCTGAATCCTTGAGTAAATATATCTTTTCTTTAACTATATGGGTTGAGCACGGCAGACACCACACGAGCACGGCAGATCCCAAATGAGCACGGCAGACACAGAAGCACTGCAGACCACACAAGAGCACCGCAGACCTCACAGGAGCACGGCAGACCCCACAGGAGCACGGCAGACCCCACAGGAGCACGGCAAACCACAAAGGAGCACGGCAGACCACAAAAGCACGGCAAACCACACAGGAGCACGGCAGACCACACAGGAGCACGGCAATCCCCACAGGAGCACGGCAGACCGCGCGCAGGTACAACATAAACGCGCCTTTTGTTGTACCCCGAACGCCGCTGGCGTTTCCCCCACAGGAGCACGGCAGACCACACAAGCTGGCGGGAAACCCCAAATGAACACGGCAGACCACAGGAGCACGGCAGACCACACAGGAGCACGGCAGACGCCACAGGAGCACGGCAGACCGCGCAGGAGCACGGCAGACCACACATGAGCACGGCAGACCCCACAGGAGCACGGCAGACCCCATAGGAGCACGGCAAACCACAGAAGAGCACGGCAGACCAACAGGAGCACGGCAAACCCACACAAGAGCACGGCAGGCCACACAGGAGCACGGCAGACCACACAGGAGCACGGCAGACCACAAAGGAGCACGGCAGACCACACAAGAGCACGGCAGACCCCACAAGAGCACGGCAGACCCCACAGGAGCACGGCAGACCCCACAGGAACACGGCAGAGCAGACCCAAAAGGAGCACGGCAGACCACACAGGAGCAAGGCAAACCACAAGAGCACGGCAGACCACACAGGAGCACGGCAGACCCCACAGTAGCAAGGCAGACCCCAAAGGAGCACGGCAGACCACCGGAGCACGGCACATGGCGCACAGGACCACACAGGGAGCCACGCAGACCCCACAGAGGCACGGCAGATCCAATGGAGCACGGCAGGACAGCAAGAGCACGGGCATCCACACAGGAGCACGGCAGACTCCACAGGAGCACGGCAGACCACAAAGGAGCACGGCAGACCACACAGGAGCACGGCAGACGCCACAGGAGCACGGCAGACGCCACAGGAGCACGGCGGAACCCACAGGAGCACGGCAGACCGCGCGCGGGAACAACATAAACGCGCCTTTATGTTGTACCCCGAACGCCGCTGGCGTTTCCCCAACAGGAGCACGGCAGATCTCACAGGCGCGCGGCAGACCCCAAATGAGCTCGGCCGACCACAGGAGCACGGCAGACCCCAAATGAGTACGGCAGACCCCAAAAGAGCACCGTAGACGCCTCAGGAGCACGGCTGACCACACAGGAGCACGGCAGACCACACAGGAGCGCGGCAAACCACAAAGGAGCACGGCAGACCCCAAATGAGCACGGCAGTCCACACGTTCGCACGGAAGACCGCACAGGAGCACGGCAGACACCACATGAGCACGGCAGACCAAGAAGGAGCACGGCAGACCAAGAAGGAGCACGGCAGACCACACAGGAGCACGGCAGACCACACAGGACACGGCAGACCCCACGGGAGCACGGCAGACCACACAGGAGCACGGCAAACCACACAAGAGCACGGCAGACCATACAGGAGCACGACAGACCACACAGGAGCACGGCAGACCACACGTTCGCACGGCAAACTCCACAGGAGCACGGCAGACCCCAAAGAAGCACGGCAGTGGTACGTGGCACTGCTGTGGTATGCCGTACAAAAAACGTGGAATATCTCATAAGCCCAGGGGACAAAAGGACGCTTCCCGTTCTTGTCCGGTCAGGTTCCGGAAAAATGGCCGTTTCGCTCGAGACATCCTCGAAAAATCGGCTCCGGAGGGGACTCCGAACCGGCATTATCTTGGAGTCGCTCCCGGAGGGCCTCAAAACTGCCCAAGAGAGCCCCCAGGGGACCCCCAAAACGCCCCAAGAGACCTTTCCGTAGCCATTTTGGCTCAAGTTTGAAACGCTGCCCCGGCGCTTCGAACTTGGACGCTGCCAAGGGGTTGGCCCGAGCGTCTAGAGGTTAGGCCTCACAATTCTTCTCCAGTCGTGCGCCAAAGCACGCGTCCTTCTTTCCCGCGCGACGGTTCGAATTACCCCAGTTGCGCCGATGCCCGCTGGAGTCAGAAAGTCCATCAAGTCCGAGGCCAGGTCTCTGTCTCGGCGGCCAGTCAAGAAGAAGGAGCCCAAGTCTGAGGATGACTCGCGGTCTCCAGAACGGTACTCAATGAGCTCTACTGGCAGTCGTCGCCCCAGCACTGACTCCAGCGAGCGCTTCTCGGACCGCACACGCACCAGGTGCCGCCGCAGAGATTCTGAGATTGAGGACAGCACGGCCCCAGACAAGGCCCCTAGTTGGATGAAGCAGCTGATTGAAGGCATAAGAACCTCGAATTACCGCATCGAGGCGATGGAGCAGAACTTCGCGCAGGAGGTGCAGGTGCTTCAAAGTTCCATCTCGAACACGGATAAGAATGTCCAATCGCTCAATTTTAAGCTCCAGACCCTTGAGGCGTCCACGGCAGTCTCCATCCAAGAGGCGGTCGCGGCGGCGGTCGACACCAAGTTGAAACGCATCGACGCGACTCTGTGTGAGCTCCAGAGTACTCCTACCCCACGGTCTGGACCGACGGCTCGACGAGCACCTACTCCTGGCCCACGCCAGGATGGTAGGCACTCAGCTATGGAGCGCGCTCACCGTGTGATCGTGGTCGGCTTCCCTCGGAAGATGATGCAGGCCTCGCTGAGGCGCGCCGCTGATCTGATCCTGGCCTCTGGCGTTCCTCAGTCCTCCCCACGCCCGACGGTACGCACGTACGACATGACCAAGAAGATCACCTTGGACTTCACGGACTCGACAAAGGCCACCGACTTCCTGAACATGCTCCAGGCAGGTGCGCCAGTCCAATTCCCCGACCCGATCTACCCCCAACAGATGATCACCCTCCGCGCCAAGAGGGACATGGCACCAGGCACGCGGCTACTCTTCCTTGCCATGGGTAAGGTTCGTGGTGTACTCGCTCCCGTAGTGCGACAGGTGGGCAAAGAAATGGGGTCCAATGGTCTTGGTGGAGATGTGCATATCCTTCGTTCGGCGGAAGACCCAGCTCAGATCTGCCACATTGACCTCGTGAACAATGAGTCTGAGCCGCCCCAGGTCGCCATCCACTTTTTTCCTGATCAATTTGCGGAGCTTCAGCCGATTATTGAGCCCCACCTCCAGCGTCTACAGGAGGGGTGGATCATTTGAATTCATCACAGCCCTCTTAGAGAGGACGGTGACGGGTCCCAGGCTAAGGGTGCGGCGCTAGAGACACCTCCAGATGAGTGCCACCCTGCCGCGAGCCTGATCGTCACTCCTCCTAGGCGCTTTATTTCCTCTAATCCTCCCGTCCGTTGGACTGAAGTTGTGCCTCTTTCTTCCGTCAATGCCCTCCCTGCCGGTGTCGCTTCGGCCGATCAGGCCTCTGTGTCCGTCCCCCTGGAATGTTCTGGGCAGCACGTCTCTGGCAGCGCTTCTCGGACCTTTCAGGGGATCCCTAGCTCTTTGGTCAGGACCCGCCCTTTCTTCCCCCCCTCAGAGATGAAGATCGGTTCTTGGAATGCTGCCGCCCTCTTTGCCGCTGTTCGCACCAAAAGTATGAAGGCTGCCCCGCGCTTTGCGAAGTTTCTGAAGCTCGCGAACCAACTCTCGGTCTTGTGTACCCAGGAAACCCACGGACAGATTGCGGATATAAACGAGCTTCGGCGAGAACTTCGGCATTTTGAGATTGGTCACTCTCTGTTCCCTGACTCTACTGCTACTGGTGGTGTTATCACGTGCATCCAGCCTGCGTTTGCGAAGCTCTTCTCCTCTATCACTCACTCCAGCGTCATCGATGGTCGTATTCTCAAGTCTTATCTCTCTGGGCCTCTCGGGAACTTATGTATCATCAACGCCCACATGCCGAACACTAATGAGCTCACATGTGTATATGCTAATGCTATTAGATCCTTCCTTCGTGAACTTCCCAGCCCCGCGGATTGTTTCACTATCTTGGTAGGTGACTGGAACTTTGCGCTCTCCTCTGATGGGAGACTTCGAGCGGACGGTAGTGGGTGGTATCCTGGAGATGATAATCATACCTCTCTATTTCATCGGCTTTGTAGCTCTTGGATTGAGTTTTACCAATGTGAGGACACGAGGAGGGAGGTCAGGGACGGCGTCGCGACCCACTCTTCTCGGCTAGACCGTATGTACAGTACGCTTCCCTCGGCTCTGATCACGGACCTCACGATTGTTTGCGAGGCGCGGGGGGCCCTGAAGGTGGATATGGTCTCGGACCACATCCCGATTGTCGTCACGATCAGCACTTTCAGACCTCAGGATGCTCCCAAACGTCTGGCTCCCTGGGTTGTTCGACACCCTTTATTTGCAGAGCTTTTGAACGGCGCTATTGATGCCCTTCCCTGTGGTGACCCGTGGGCTCGTCTGGCCGAAACGAAATCTTTGGTGTTTGAAGTTGCTGAGGAGGTTAAACGTCTGGTCAACCTGAAACCTGCTGGCACTACCGAAGCCAAACATTTTCGTGCCCTGCAAGCCCTTCGTGCATGGCGTGCGGGAGACTCTTTCAAGTTAGCGGCGGCGGTTGCCGCGTACCCTGCGCTCGCTGCTCACTTTCCTGCTGGCCTTCAGGATGCCAGATGCGACGCCCTCTGCCAACGCGTTCAAAGTCTTCATAATACTCTTCTGTCTTCTGAGGAGGAACTGCTCAATCAGCCCTTGACCGAGGATGTCGGACCCGTGCCTTCTGAGGGGGATGACAATGCTCGGCGGAAGTTGGCGGCTCGGAAGGAACTCTGGCGGAAGATGAATAGGCGTGCGTGGCTCCAAGGGACCTTGTCGGCTTCAGGGGACATCAGCAAGACAGAAGAAGAGGCTGCCAAGGCCCTACAGGATCACTGGAGTACTATCTTTGCTGCTACTGAGGACGACGAGTCCCTCTGGCCCGAGCTGCTTAGCTTTGTGCCGAAGTTGCCAGAGGTTCCTGAGGATACTGAGGAAGAGGACTTAATCGGACAAGGGTGGACGATGAGTGAGTTTGGGTGGCAAATGTTGATTTTGGGGAGGAAAGACAGCATGCCTGGGGAGGATGGGATTCCGTACTCGGCCTGGAGGGCTCGCGCCGCTGGTGAACTTCTCTATGAGTGCTACCAAGCCTTCATACGTAACCCTCGGGCTGGTCTTCCCGATGATATGAAACGAAGTCTCATGGTTTTCTTGCCCACACAGATTACGGAGGCGGAGGTGGGGGAGGGGGTCTATCGTGAACCAGCTAATACTCGTCCACTAAGCATGACAAATACGGATGCCAAGATTTTCTCGGCCTCGATGGCTATGATCCTCACGCGCAAGGTTGCGCGGCACTGTCTTCTCCAGCCTCCACAGAAATGTTTTCGAGGCCGCGACATGCTCGCGAATGTGATGGAGGCTGAGAGTTTCCTTCTTGAGTGCCACCTTCGTGATAGATATACGAGTGGGCTCGTCCTGACGGGCTTCGAATCCGCCTTCCCCTCGATCAAGGTCTCCTGGGTCCTCCGCGTGCTGGCCTCCATGGGGGTCGCGACTGCTGTCGTATTGTTCTTCCAGGCTCTTTATCAAGATAATTCGGCGATTATCTATATCTTTGGGAGGATGTTTGGTTCCTTCGCGATTGGGAGAGGAGTTAGGCAAGGCGACCCGAGCTCGATGCTTTTATTTATCCTGGCCGTTGAACCTGTACTAGCATGGGTGAGGGCTAAGCTTCCAAGGCAGCTGACTTTGTCTCTCGCGTACGCCGACGATTTTTGTTTCGGCTTACGCTGTATCTTCGATGGCATCGAGCCGTTGTTCAAGTGTTTGCAGCTGCT